GCTTCCAATGTCCAAGCGACGATAAGACTCTTTAGTGGAGCATTGAAGTTTCTCTTTAGTTGTTTCTTGGCAAATAACACACAATGTCCAATCAATATGACTTAAATCAAAAGGCTGCAACTCCATAATTTAGCAGTTTTTGTTCATTCCACAATAACAGATTTCAATCGAATGTACTTCCTGTCACCTATAAATAAGATTCAATTGTTTGTGTTGAAATCTGTGAATTGTCCACTAATGAATGATCATACTCTTCAAAAACTTAATTTAAATATAAGACGATCTATGAAGTTAATACAAATTAATAAAATCCATGGATGAGCTTACCATTCAAATGCATGACATGTTTCTGCTGATTTCTTGGTCATCCACCATTTTGTTACTATGGCAACCGATAGTATGACGTCAGACTAGAACACTACTCAGCTAAATTAAAAGATTTGTGAATCCCAAAATGTTGTAATAAAATCAATTCCAATAATCTAAAATGAAGAAGAAAATAATATTTTTCAGCATTATACGACTCTCATAAGTGGTAAAAATTGGCGCATGAGCAAACAAATTATTGACTTTTCCCGCTATATTTTGTTGCAATATGTGTCGCAAATGAGCAGGCAATACTACAGTAATCACTAACAGCAATACATGTAGCTTTTCTGCTGTTTAAAGGACAAAATTCAATTCGGTATTGATGACGTCATTGTGACGTCAAAATCGATTTTTAGAAGTGGCTCCAAATCTTAAAATGATCAGCAGAAGTCATAGTACCTTGACACAAAGTTTCATCCTTTTAACATAAACTGAACAGTTTTGATGTTTTTCAGCACATATCCACTGGACTAATACATGAACAGTTCGTTTGATTCCTTGCCACGGGCAAGATATATTTTGACATTTTCTCTGATATACATGTCAACTCTGGGATTTTCAGAATGGCCTACAACTTGATGTGAATGCAGAATCTATCGGATTATCGGCATTTGTCATTAAGAACAGATAAGTGTATGGGTTAATCTGATCAGATTTACCCTGACCGAGTAACCCGACCTATTTAGGTGATTTGAACCGTAATGTGTGCGAGAATTTACGATTCACATTATTTTTGCCAGTTTCTACATTCGCCATGCGTGCTTTTTTTGTAAATTTCAGACAAACACATTGGTCATCGTATGGTTCATTATAATTTTTTTAAAAGAAATTTATTTATATATGTGCTCTGTGGTTTAATAAATTTTAATAAAAAAAGTGAA